TGGGCTATAACATATAGCCTAGTAGTAGCTCAACCAATCAGAACGCAGCCTTGATAATAGACCACTAGTTGGATTTTACTAAAACACAATGTACAATAGATGGAGAAAAGAACTAATATGATCAATTTTCAAACTGTCTATGCAATAGGTATTGTTTTAGTAAGCGTAGACAGGAAAAATTTGGTAGGCCTTTCAAAATAGGGTGAAGATCTTTTAAAGAAGAGGTCAGCGGCTATTGATTGAGTTGATTTCATTCCCCGAACGAACTGCAACACGGCACACAACATTTTGAAATTTTAAATAGCTCTTACTGTCGCACGGAACGGCTGATAATCGAGCCTATTACTCTATGTGATGAACTTTGTTTAGCAGACAATGTATTTAATAACGATACTATGGCTCTATCGCTGGCACGAAAACCATATCGGATAGTCTATATTGACCCTTTTGTTGTCTCTGTTTTACAAGACGCCAGTGGCTATGCGATTGAGTTGCATTTCGGTTGCCATACCTTTTGATTGAGTTATTTTACATTGGTATGCCTGTGGTGCGGACGGAAGGTCTCTCGGTGTACGGTCACGTGATCGATTACCAAATTTTCTCAGATGGGTAGATTACTTCATTTTCTTACCCGAGGTGCTCCGCTGGTGCGCTTCGCGCGCGAGAGCTCCGTTATTATGTTTTTATTATGTTTCGGAGGACATGTTATGTTTACTTCGCGATGCGATAATCTGTTATTGTTACGAAGGAAATAAAGTTATTTCCTTCGCAACAATAACAGTTAATGGAGATTGCGATAGACTGAACAGAAACAAAGAGATTGGAATTAGTCAGTGAGGTGTTCATCAGCTCATATGCAGGTACTCGGTGAGTGTATTTTCCACGATTTCTACCGACTTTGTTTATTGTATTCAACTTACTGGTCGGCACTTAATGGGGTGCTTATTGGCCGGTCGCGGAATATTTTGACTCTAGGATTTTCCAGTATTGTCTAAATCAATTGAGGAATATATAAAAATCTCAGATAATAATACGAACGTTCTTTGTTTTGATTCCTACCTTGTACCTGCTTGTTGCAGGTTGCTTTTAGTTTCGTGAACCACCGGCCCCAAACCACAGATCAGCTTTAATTTGTTTAATGCACGAGGAAAATGGTGTTAGAACACCATAAGGCTGGACGAACGACTCACTTCAGGGGGCAATTGATGACGTAATGTAACTGAAACTAAGAAACGTAAATAACTAACTTAACACAATATCAAGAGACAAACCATAGATGACAAGCATAACCGTGGCGAAAATTTTGACTTGTGAAGAGGGTACAAGTGAGACGCCACGGCGGAACTGCAACGTTAGAAAGTGATAGGAAGAAGGGACTTAACTCGTGATGTTGGTAGATGGAACGTCAGTTTGACGCAGTCAGTCCTTTTAAAGCGTTTTAGCTTTTCTTGACATTATGCTTTGATACTGACTAGGCGAGCAAAACTTTAAAGTTCAATTTGCAACGCGGAAATAACTGAGTGCCATGTTGCCTCAGTATGTGTCAGTGTCTTAAACAAATTATCCTTTCAGTTCTTCCTTTAGTGCTGTCAACTTTGTGTGGTTTTACTTTACAAGCATAAAAATGAATCAGGAAATTGCAACTGTATTCATCAGACACGTACACGAGTCTGTTAACGGAAAATTCAGTTGTGCGGAAATAATGGGAAAATTTACGTGTAACTACTTATTTGGGGATTTGGAGAAAGCTTTTACACAAACCCTCAGACCCTTAACCATTATTCTACTATTTACAGAGAGACGTCAATTTCATTTTCATGAAATTTAAGTTTATATTGAGTAAGACTATCTTTAAAGAGGGTGACGGAGAATCGGGAAATGGGAACAGGGAACGGGGAATCTTAAAAATGGGGAATCCTTAAGCGTGGAAATCTTTTGAGGGATCCTGTTTGAAAGATTCCCTTTCCTCGTTGACATATTAAATTCTGCAAGAAGAATAGTGCAATGCTGATCGTACTACGTGGAAATTAACTTTGCAAGACACCAACACGACACTGAAATAACCCAAAACAGAGCGGAATTGTAGCCATAGACAGCTGTTTTGCTATTATTGTACCTCGTTACCCATTGCCCGTTCCTCGTTTTATATATAGCCCCGTAAAAACTAGGCAGGAAGCTCGCATCATGTTGCATCGGGAAATTCGTCATAATTGGTCGGTTCCGCATACACCCGAGTCACCCGAAAAAATTTCACAGGTCAAATAAACATAAAAGAAATGAATTAACAAAGACGTGAGCAAACTGCATTGAAATAATAGCCACGCCGAGTGCATAACATAGGCTCGTGGGCTCATATCTAGATCTAGATATCAAAACGTACCATACAAATGTTAGTTGAAAATTGCCATGATTAAAGTAACGGCACCCGTGTGCCTTGGTTTTGTTTCATTGTATTTTTAGCTCAGTTTATTTAATTGTAACCGCATTTTACGACACAATCTTAATGATTTTCCGCTAGCCCTCACGCGACCTTAGCTTAAATACCGCTACACGTGCGTAGTTTTTCTAAGGCTCACAGAAATTCGACAGGTAACCATCTCAAGAAACGTTCATACGAGTAGCGTAGAAGCCGTACATAGCCAAGTAATTTTTCTTTTATGATAATGTTTAATATATAGTTGTTGTTCCCTTCTTTCTTACTTAACTTTTATTTTACTTTGTTTTATATGTCATTGTATCAGGTGCACCCAACGTCAGTTTTCAGGGGCACCCAACGGCAATTTTCGGAAAATATCTGTTCGGAAGACGATTTGAAATCTAGAATTTTCGGAACATTTATTGTAAAATTTCTCGCTTGCCTACCTCTCCTAGGATTTTCGAACATCTACAAAATGGCATAATTACCCATTTTTAACGGATTTTTACCCTAAAAAAGGCCACCTAGAATTTTCGGGAGCCTTTTCCTGGCTGAAATTTTCGAAAAGGTAAGTTTTGATCCCTATAATTTTCGGATCACTAGACTTTCAGCTAGGAAATCCGAACAGATGAAAAGTTTTTAGGGGATAAAAATATGCCTATATCTACCGTTTAAATACTAAAATACGTTCAACAATGCTTTGTTAAGTGGTTTTGAACTATATCCTCGTTGGGTGCCCCCGAGTTTTTGGAAAATATCTGTTCGGCCGAAAGACGATTTGAGATCTAGAATTTTCGGGCATTTGTTGTAAAATATCTTACTTGCCTGTCTCTCGTAGGATTTTCCGACATCTAAAAAAATGGTATAGTTGCCCATTTTTAACGGATTTTTACCCTAAAAAGATCCCCTAGAATTTTCGGGATCCTTTTTTCTGGCTGAAATTTTCGAAAAGGTAAGTTTTGATCCCTATAATTTTCGGATCAATAGACTTTCAGCTAGGAAATCCCAACAGATAAAAAATTGTTAGGGGATAAAAATATGCCTGTATCTACCGTTTAAATACTAAAATACGTTCGACAATGCTATGTTTAAGTGGTTTTGAACCATATTCTCGTTGGGGGCCCTAATTGTATTGACTGTTTTGGTACTATTCACGTCGAAGATAAGTCAATAAAGTTGTTGTTGCTGTTGAACTCAAAATCTCAAGAATCTACTAGAACGTTCGCCCCAACACGTCCTGCAACGGGATCGCTGTAAAAGTTGGCACAATAAACCCCAGACTTGTGGAACCTGTCAGTCGCTTAGTTTTTCTTAGTCATTCACGGATCTCTCCGACACCGGAGCTGATGCCGCTACAATTAAAGATATTAATAAAGCTCAAGTTCCTTTTTCTGCACTAAATATGGCTGTGCTACAAATTTGCTGTAAATTAAAGTTCTTGAATGCCAACAATATTCTAAAAATTGCCTAATAGTATTTTAAAAATGAATGAACAGTGGTGATATGACAATAACTATAATAGGATGTAAATAAAGCACTGTGAGAAAATCTCTCTGTATGCCCTTTTAAGTACTGAATTTTTACTGTAAAAACTTTCGCAATACATGTACGTCATGTACTCTTTAACTATGTGGTCTCTGTTTCATATGTTATCTTACGATGACGTTTAGATCTACTGTTTTTCTTCCGGCCATGTCGCGGCAGGTTTTGTGAAACATCCTTCTTGCTGAAATTCATTTTATGGTTAACCGTGTTAAACCGGGCATAAAACCCGTCTTTAACTGTAGAATAGGATGAGACGACGCAAACGTCACTGCAAAATAGGACGAAAAACTCCTCACTGTGTTATTTCCCTGAGGACGGGGGGGGTGTGGTCATCCCAAGGACCGTACCATCAGCGGAAGTACCGTGCTCTGTCCTGATTCAGTGGCACATCCGCGTATAGGACATATAAGGTAGTACCTCCCGGGGATATTTCCCAGTTTGATAAGTACTCAGCTCAGTCAAGAATCATCAATCTTTCATAAATGGTAGATACAGTGTCACGAGAGATAAGCCTGCTATCTCACTTTCACACTTATATATGGGGGCATCATTACTCATTCCTTCATTACTTGTAAACTGCACCATAAGTAGTCTGGTAAAGTCCCCTAACCAGTGTTGTAAATTATCCCTATAAGATATTTACATTTACATTTACAATGTCAGCACTGTATCATGCCACGTGCGCACTACACGAGTTCTATTGTTCTTTGACCTGTATGAAAACAATATTGTGCAACTCACTTCGACACTTTCTACCGGGACTTACTATTTCAAGAGTGTCAAGAGGCTGCGGTTTTATATGCTAGTTGGTTTTTCAGAGAAATGAACATTTGAATGAGAATTAAAAACAACTTTAATTTGTTGTAGATCGTTCGATACCTCACTGTGGCAGTACGGCTATTTGTATATTCGGCTATTCGGGAAAGAAGCGAGGACCCATTTTTTTTTTCACAGACGAAACTTAACTCTGGTTAATTTAACCTCGGATAGTAACTTGAGTTAAAATTACGTCTGCAAGTATGGTTTCGTAACCTTCTCTGTCACTTTAGTGTCGCAATATCCCTGTTTAGCACTTCTGATTTTTGGCTACTCTCTGACTAAATAAAGTCAGCCCACGTACACGTTTGGACGATGAATGAAATCTCTTTCTGGATTGCTTTCTAGGAGATTGTCTTCATCTAGTTAACTGAAAGAGTACAGGCACCCCGGGACAGGCACAGGAAACGTTTAAAGGGATTTTGAAGAGTTTGGGAATTTGTAGGTAAGTCGATTGAGTAGAGATTCTGTGATACGAAGAATGGGGGACTCGATGGCCCTTGGCCAAGAAACTTCCTTCGGCCTTCTCTATCACTTGGAGACCTCGGAGCTTTTTCTTCAGCTCCATCTCGGGATTATAAAAAAATCTCACTCTTTTAAACAATGTGTCAATTTTAATACACGCATTTTAGGCGTGCTACTGACTAAAGGTTACTGCAGTTGCAGAAGCAACAATTACTTTTATTGTGTCGCCTTTAATAGAACAAGCAGCACCTCACTGAACGGCTTACACAATTGGCTGTGAAAACAATAGAAACGGTGACATAACAATGCCCCTATCCCTGAAAACAAAAGGCAATATTGTTTCAGTCGACCACTGAAATTAGAGGTTCATGTGAGGTACTGGACTACTGTAGAATTTACGGAGCAATCGCGAATAAACTTGCATAATTTACTTGCGGGTATCTGGGACTCCTGATGCTGCCAGAAACTCTTGCATCCGTATATTGTAACTTGTACTTACTATAAGACAATTGGGTCAAAGGCGAAGGTGTCAGTAAGGTATTAGAAACACTAATGCGGTCGAATTTCAAATAGACTAGATAACTGGGCTGTCAAGGACGATTTTTCCTGCGGTAGGGGTGGCTGTAAACCCCGGGGGGGGACTCGACCAATATTTGGGTGTAGGTAAGTCGCTGAGGGTTTGAAGCCCTGACCCTCAAAAAATTTCTAAAATACATACCCTGTTTAGAACAAGACCCTTAATTTTAGTACCCTGTTTATAATGGCCGAACGCCCTGTTTATAATAGAACAGACTCGCACAAATCATGTGCACTGTTGACAGACTTCCACGAAATTGTATACCATGTCTAGGACAGACTCGTGCGGAATTATAAACCCTGTCTAGGACAGAGACGACGAAAACCATACCCTGTCCAGCGGCACATCCCCGTATAGGCCATATAAGGCTGTATTGCTGGTTTTCAGTGTCACGCCATTCAAAATAGATCAAAATAAAAATCAAAACCGTTCAATAGAAAGTCTGGAATCTGGGAAATAAAAGGAGGTAAATATACAAAGACCCTTGCCAAGATTCAGGCCAGAAGAATATTTCGTATACGAGATATCCGAAGAAATGTTTTACTTACATTTATAGAGATTTGAATGGAGACGCCATGCTGGTGCCCACCTGGATGCGCACCAACATGGCGGACGGAAACCATCAAACACATCTGTAACCGAGTTTTGGTACAAAAGCGTGAATTTATTCCTCAAGGAACTCATAAACATTAAAGTAATACTTTTTCTAATTACATGAACTGTTTAGACAGCAAAATTCCCCGAAAAAAGTCACTTTTTTTAACCTACAAGAGGGCTCTCTCGGCCGTCATCAGATCTTCATTTAATTGCTGCCTTCGTTTAACAAGCCGCCGTATCGTCACTAAGTTAATAATTGCATATAATTGATAGTGTTAATTTTCTGGAAACTTTGTTTCTGGTGGCTTTCCCTAAACGTACGAAGGAAGTACGTAGAAATCTGGCTACTTGGAGTGTTCTTCGATCTCCTTCGCAAAGAACGGCTGTGTAGCATGCAGGAGACTACAGTTTCAACTGATAGTGGCAGATCTCCACCCTGATATTATAAATACTCCTCTGTCAGGAATGTCAAAAGTGTATCGATGATTTCAAAACAGTCCCACAATGCATTTTGACAACCATCTCGACCCGGTCTCCCGCGCAATCTCAAAGTGTCTAATAGGCTGTGCAATTACTTGTATCTTACTAAGGCTTATTCTTGCCTAGTCCTTAAAACCTAGCCTGCGTCTAAACCTTCTGTACGGACTATACAAATGGTTTAGACGAGTGCGTGGGCCGGCTGCAACGCAGGCTATTAAACCTAGTCCCTGTACGGTGTCCTCCTAGGCCTTCTCGGTCAATGCATTTCGTTGATGTTTTCAAAACTCGCTCTCACGTGACCCTAAACGCATCGGCTGCTCGAAATAATGACGCCTCGCCAAGGCTCATCCTACACTAAGCTAAGATCAGGCTCTGCTTGCATTTCACTTGGTAAATAGATTTTTGGCAGCAATGCGAATTGAAAAGTCTTGCATTTGATAGAGTACGAGTATACCTGAATTACGCTTACTACGTGTTTTCGAAACAAACAAACATTGTTGCATGTCCCTCGAAAGATCACCGCTCTTTCTCGACTTCCAACGTCTCAGCATTCATCGAGAAATGCAGCATCAGCACTTTGGAAAACGCTGGTGGTGCAATCATGCATTCATGTGCTATACACGTGAGCACGGACCTTGCGCTCAACACGAGGGCCCTCGCGGGCAATTGGCGGCCACCTGCCACGCATGGTTGGTACAACACGGGAATCCCAATTACAAGAATGTTTAAGGTTATACAGTGTATAAAGTACTGCCGACCAAGAATAGTCTGCGGGCTCCTCTTGTCACCCGCATTAAAACAACTATTACATTCAGTTTTTGTGATATCCGGAAGAATTAAGGTCTCTGATCAGTAACTGTAGGCCTCAGCAAATAACACTTGCGTCTACCTTGACAGTATAAAACGTCATCCGTCTTTGCCGCCCGTTGAGGGCGGGTCGACGAGACGGGTGACATTTCAGACTAAAACCTTGATTATTCATCCAGTAACTGTTCATAATTCTGCTAAAAGGTGGTTATTAACGCCAGACACAGAAGAAAGCAGAAGGGCCCAAATTGCTTTTTGTTTTTGTCACCCGCTATTTTTAATTCCTGCTTGATCCTTCTTGATGAATTCTTGGAAACTCGGTTTAAGCCTGGAACATAACCAAAACAGAAAATTATTTTAAAATTTATCGTACCGTTTAGTGCCGACTTTCTTTCGGTTTCACTGGTATTAAAAGAAGCATCACACGGTACTAAAATTTCTGCTTGTCCGCGCCCCAGGTAAGCTATCGCAAAAAATATACCACTAATGCAATCTAGTTAAAATCTTACGTTACTTTGTCAAGAAATCATTATGCAAGCAAGTTTTATTTGTGTGTGGGGACTTTGAAAGTGCTACTCGCTATTTATTGTAATGTTTGTAATGCGCATTTGATTATTTTTTATAGAAAATGCGCAATATAAATATTAAATATTATTATTAATATTACTCCAAGTTGCATGATCCAAACAAAACCACAATGTCATGCAGGTGGATCAGTCAGCACAACTGCACAAGTTTTCCGTGGACAAAGGTGAACTCGTCTGTATAAAAATTAGCGATGTTTTGAGGCTATTACTTCAACAGTAATGCTGTACAGTGTGATTCATTTTATCGATGTTGACTTCGATTTCTTTAGAATGTTCAGTTTGGTAATGAGCGCAACAGAAACATGTCAAGTGCTGCACTAAAATTTACGAAATTTTGGATTGAATAAAATGGAAAAGCAAACCCCCATCCCCCCAAATCAAGGATGAAGCCGCTCGAAGGGCAAAAAGCCATGTTCTCATCTTTTATTTGGTGGAAAGAGGGCGTCTACTCAAATTTTCCATTTATTTTGTTCGAGTTTGTAGCTGGTTTGACAAAGTGAAAAATCATCCTTCAGTTCGAAAGCTTCGGTTCACACAGCCTATAAATGGCAATTTTACCTCTTTCGGTTTCGACACATTTTTTCCGGTTCTTCGAAGTTCCGGAACGTGGGCCCATCTTGCCCTCGTTTGTCCCGCAAAGAAAATGTTCCCTTTTTGTCCATGTAATAAATCCTTTATTGACCAACGTTGTAATACAAAGTACAATAGAAACTAGGTCGTAATGAGGATGAAGAAGTTAATTCAAGACTTCCGCGTGAAAAGATCAAGGGTGAAGCTTTCATTGAGTCTCTATATCTTCCTCTAACTTATACTTGGAAAATCCCTCCACACTATTGTGAGTCAAAATTGTGAGTCAGGTTGCCAAAAGTCCAACACCAACGCCTAAACCTCGGCCACTCAAATCAAAGCTAAATGATTTGACCGTAAAGACGAGTAAAGTCCATTTTAAAGCTGGCAAGTGCACCAGGTATGGTTGTACTTGATTTCTAAGAAACATCCAACGTCTGAAATTTCGCGGGGTCACGGAAAAACAGCATCCTAATCTCAGAATTATGAACACTGATTCCGGCAGTAATGGCGGAGTTGGAGATAGGAGGGATTCGTGAGAGCTCTAAGGCCCAGTTCAGACGTCGTGCTTCTGCCGTGCCGAACTAAATTCAGGAATTAAGTTCGACAAAAGCACGGCAGAAGCACGGCGTCTGAATCAAACTTTTGAATTAAGATCGGCAAGCAATTAAGTTCGACAAGCGATGTCGTGCTACACGGCTCTGGCACGGCAGCGATTCAAACGTCGTCGTACTTCTGCCGCGCCAAACCAAAATTCAGAAATTATATTAATGTATTTTGGCGAGATTGCGTTCCAACGGGGAGTTGGGAGAAGAATTGTTACGAGGCATCAGTAAATCCTGAATTTGGTTCGACTCTGGCACGACGTCTGAATCAAAGTTGTTTTCCTGCCGTGCTACAGTCGAACCAAATTACAATTAAGTTCGGCACGGCAGAAGCACGACGTCTGAACTGGGCCTAAACGTCATATATCAAAGATCGAAGAGCAACAACTTTTATATTATTCGATCGACAAAGGTACACTGAAGGTAAAAGTCCGGCATGGTGAAAAATCCTGCTTTTACTTTATACTTCCACCGTGTCCCTAATATTTTCCAGTTCACCATTGTACAGCTGTGGGCTTTCTATCCAAGCTTTCGAGTGGATGAGATTGACCTTGATACAGACCTGCGTTATTTTCTTTTGGAAATTTTGTCTTAAGAATAATTATAAGTTGGCCTAAGAACAACACAATTTACGTAAGAATGGCTGTATGAAATATAAGTCAACTCCAGCCTCTTTTCCATCTATATCTAATGTAAAATGACAAATTTGGGTCCCACTAAGTTATTCAAACTCGGTCAGCAGAAGGCCTGAAACTACACTCTAGGAACTACATACTAAGCCAGCTCAGTTGGCTGCGGAAAATTTATCGAGCTCTGACTTTTTTATTTATAAGAAAAAAAAGCGCTTTTCAAAATAAGTGCTACAAAAAAGCTCGCTCCGCTCGCCAAGAGGTTGAATTGTAGCAAGTCTATCATGAGAGGCGCAGTTGGTGAACTTGCTGAAGTGCGATCAACCAGCCTATTTCGGGAAACATTTTGGTTTTATTAACTCTAATAAATTCCCAGGCTTAGGTTGCCCTTTGATGATAGAACATAGTTAAAACTGCCTAGAATGCATTTACAGGGCTTGTAAAGCACTCAAGATGATATGAATTAGGTTTGTGAAGCATTTAGTCGACAGCAGTCATTGAGTGCTCCTGTTTTATTGTTATAAGAAAAAAATAAAGGTACCAAGCCATTCAATTCAACACAGGTACTCAGGTACAGGTGCCTGCCGGAAAGCGTGCCTGCTTATTACTAAAAAAGAATATTGTGCGCAGAAATCACGTACGAATGAGTGTTCAGTTAAATTAGAATGTGAAATGCAACTCACAAAAGTCCTTTTTTACATAAAAATGGCAGCTTATTCTTTTGTCCTTTTAACGGTGTTTACCAAAGAAATATAAAGACAAAGGAAAGCCGTGTTACACAAGGCTGTGTTACACAGTAAATGTGTGGATTGTGTGCTATGGTGCCTAACCGCGGACCTTGTCTTTGCGTGTTTGTTACTGAAGAAGATAAAAATATTGTTTAGTAGCCTAGGGATATTTGAAAAATTTCGGGTTTCAGTTCTTGGTTGGATGGCGCTTATATACATCCGCAGTGATAACCACAGGACAGATTTATTCCTTCTGCGGAGGATTGAACTAACCACGAGCAAGTTGTCTTAGCCTGTGTTATATCAGACAGAGACAGAGTTCAACCTCGGCGTAACCGCTTCGTATTCACGCGGCCAAAAACGAAAATTCCGTTCGTCGTTCCTTCGTCTTTCTTTGCTCCTAAACCACACGGAAACGCTTGCTACGCAGGCTAACATTGGCTGAGTAAAGTAAAGCCTTTCATGCAGGGCGTACTACATAGCTCCACCTAGTCACAGGTAGACTGCTTGCAGTCCGCCTTTTCTCTTAAAATCCGTCTAGTTCTTATCTCAGCCAGCGCGATTGCAAACCACGAGGTTATGATACAATAAGGGATTTTCTTTTCAAGCTTACGCCCTCGTTTATCTCGGCTCGCAGCTCGCGTGGTTGGGTTTCTCGTGCAGTAACTTTGCAAAGAAAAATAAGAGTAAGAGACTGCTCGCAGTCCAAGTCACAGGTGGCTTCAGTTGACACTGGGAAACGTGTCAATCTAAGTAAATATTAATTTCGTTTTTGTAGTAAGAGTCGACTGAAAATTGTGGCTAAATATCATAGTTTGCGGCTGAACTAGATCTACTTCTGGAGTCCTTAAATCATACCATGGCCACGAGTACCATTGCCTCCATGAATTAAAGAGGGAGAAATCAAGTATTATTTAAAGGTGATTAGTTGTAAGCGGACATTCTGTAGCTTTCTGACTGTTTAGTCATTCAACAGAGATCTTAAGTGGAATCATGAGAAATACACGTGTTTCGACCACCTCGTGTACGTAATTCAATATAATAACCTATGCTAAACCCGGCTTGGAATATTTTTTGTCAGTAAAATTTCAGGGGCACCCAACGGCAATTTTCGGGAAAATATCTGTTCGGAAGACGATTTGAGAACTAGAATTTTCGGAGGGTCTTGACAAACTGCGAGCCAGCGAGCCAGCGAGTCATGCGAGTCGAGCCAGTGAGTAATGCGAGTCATGCGAGTCATCATGTGAGCCATGCGAGACAGAAGTTCGAAAGAACGAGAATCCATTTTTTGGCGAATCATAAGCAATTTAACTTTTTTAACATTTGTAGCATGAAATTAGCGTTCAGACGACAGCAAGAAAGTTTTTTAAAGAAAATGTATGAAAAGGTAACCGGTCAAGTCGCCCGAAAGTCATCTCGCCCGAAGTCATGAGTCCTAAGTCATGTCGCCCGCAATTTTATCGAGTGTATAAACTTGAAGAAAAGTAACATCTTAAGTAAATCGCAAGGAATAAACTCGACCCGCTAACGAAAATACCCCTCAATGACGTCATAGCTTTTTCGATAAATGTGAATTTTGAGAAGGAACGTTTAACTTGTTAGTAAGTCAGATTTTTTATCGCGATATTCTTAAGCCATTGGCATTGGTTTTATTGTGAAAGACGCAAGACGTTTGGGTTTTAAAGAGTGTTTTTTTTATGTTCTGGTCACGTGACTTACCACATATGGTGTGACTCATTAAACGTGACCGAGGAAGAACCTTTAAACCTTTGTTTAAGACGTTTAACGAATTCTCAAACCTTTGTTATTGTTTCACCCCGTTCAATTTGTATGTTGGCGAATTTTTCTGAAGCTGAATTTTATAGGACGTGCCTTTGGAATAAATACGTTACTTAGTAGTTTACGTTTAAAACAAAGTTATTTTATGCTGACTCGCATGACTCGCATGGCTCGCATGTTGACTCACATGTTGACTCACATGTTGACTCGCATGACTCGCTGGCTCGCATGACTTTCAGTTAGGAAATCCGAACAGATGAAAAGTTTTTAGGGGATAAAAATATGCCTATATCTACCGTTTAAATACTAAAATATGTTCAACAATGCTATGTTGATTTGTTTTGAACTATATCCTCGTTGGGTGCCCCTGAAATTTACAATATCCGCCTCAATCTCCCTCCAAAGCGTACCGACAGCTGCGGTTAGATTGACCTCTGTTGCCGAACACAGTTATCTTTGGTCGGCAGGACTGGCCCTCTGATGCAAACTTAACCCTCTTTGTTGCGGCTAAATAAGGTTTTAGGTTGTTCAATTTTCTCCAAAGTGCCTCCTGGATCTGAATAACTAAAAGCGATTTTCTTTTGTCCGCGAATGTGATGGTTTCCTGCGTTGTTTTGACACGCCGGGCCCACAACCTCGAATGTCTTTGTTCGAGTCCTCTGCAACTGAAGAAACAAGTTCCAGATACCATGTTCTGAGCGTCGAGTATTTCTTCGATTAGCCATTGATTAGCTTTCGATTGGTTTCTAAATTTTTTATGACTTATTGTTAGAGCTGTTCTGATACGAAGTTTACTTTCTAGTCCTTTTAATAACACCTTACCCTGGGTGCCAGAGGCTTTTCATTCGCGGTTTCCGGTTTCGGTCAAGTCTTAAAAAGTGACCCGCGCGAAGCCCCTCTTCGCACGCGAGAAAAAACCTCTGGTACCCATGGTAATAGCACCTCTGCTGCTTTTCTGTTTTGATTTCTGCTGTGATTTTCTTGCATTTTAGCGTTCTCGTTCGAATTGCGCGTCGACTTCGCTTCACTGGAATTGACGTTAGTTGGCTGCTTTGATTGTTTTGTGCCACGATTATTCCCACTCCGCTGTTTGCCTTTAGCTGTTGTTTTCATGACTAGGATCGCTGTCCGCGGACTTCAAAATTGATATGATATATCATCTAGCAAACCAGTTAACTCCAACGAAATCGCGGAATCTAGCTCCCAATCGGAACAATTTCTCAAGATAAAACCATTTCCTTTGTTTACAAAATCACTTCAGTGATGAAACGCACCTCCACCCTGGACGCCATTATTTCTCGACAGCGCTGAATAAAAGTTTGCACTTCTCGGGAAACCAATTTCCGACTAATTCAAGCGTTTAATTGAGTGGAATGGTTATGAAACCCGTCAGACTCCTTTGTTATATGTTTTTGTGGACCTGAAAGTGCACAACGTTCAAAAGAATTCCTATCATTTTGATTGTATTGACCAATAAAAACGTTGCATTAATTTATTCCGTAACAATTTGTCAACAGAAAACAAAGGATTGTGCACTTTCACGGTGCTTTGAACATAAACTGCAGCACTGTTGTTTTTATCATTGATGTTTGCCGCTTTTCATAACCATTCTCCTCTAATAACTATGCTTTGGTTTATCCCAAGGGCTAGACTGGGCGTTTCCGTCTCTGTCCCATTATGGCTCTTGATAGTACTACCCTGGTCCACAGCCAAATTAAACAGTCCCGCAAAATATATCAAACTACCGCAATGTGTACTTCCAAAAAAGGCGAAACCAACTGAAGTCCGGTGTACGTAAACACCATTGAAAAGGATGGTCAAGAAATGTTTAATTAGGTTTTTTTTCGCCTTTCCGAGTCTGTGAGCCAATATTTTAACTTTAATCTAAGGTTGACTTACCCTGGGTGCCAGAGGGTATTTTGTTTGCACAAAGTATTTCATCCTATAGGTATTTCGAGAACGTGCAGATTGGGTTGAAAACTAAAGAGAAACCGGATGCATGAAACAATACGCGTCCAGGGCGGTTTATTCAGATTTAATCAGATCAGTCGGCAGTGTTTGTAGCGGTTTTCTTTTTATCAGTTTCGGTCAGATAGAACATTAACGAACAGATAGGGAACCTCTAGAACAATATATTTCATTCAGAGTCCGTGATATTGCGGCGCCACTACTTTCAATGGTCCTTTCAATAGAAAATTAGATCCAGTGTGGCGGATGTAGATGACATACCTGAGGGGTATAGTACGTTCATTAACTTTTTTACTCACCATCTACAATAGGTAGGGTGCACGCAGTTGATGAGAGCCCAGCTACTAATTTTGCTAAATTGTCGGAAATGTCTGTCGAGACAAACGAGGAATTGTTCCGTGCAAGTAGTTCACCTCTGGATACAGCTCAGCCGGTCATATACCGACTTCGCCCAAACCAGATGTAATACCTCATCGTCTAATTTTTTTCCTGAGTCGGTTCTTATTAATTTTTGCCACTGACTGGTGATATATATATATAGCACAGATGACAGTGAGGTTAAGTAGTAGTTCAGTTTTCTTTATTTGCTTATTCTCTAGTTGCAGCAGATTGCAATTTCACCACGTCCTGCCGGCATGTCTAAACATCTTTTTTAAGACCACATCCCCGGGACCACATCATGAAGTTCATCAGTTTGCAACTTCGCTTTGAAATCTCTTAGTAATACGACACATGCGTTAGCCCAAGGCTTATAACCGGAAATGAAAAGCTACTGTCAAATCCCGCCCTCGTTGTTACAGATAATTTCCCTTGCCAGGCTAGAAAGCCCTTACAGTTTTTCTAACTTCACTTCGTCAATATACCAGGGGCACCCAACGAGGATATAGTTCAAAACCACTTAACATAGCATTGTTGAACGTATTTTAGTATTTAAACGGTAGATATAGCATATTTTTATCCCCTAAAAACTTTTCATCTGTTCGGATTTCCTAGCTGAAAGTCTAGTGATCCGAAAATTATAGGGATCAAAACTTACCTTTTCGAAAATTTCAGCCCGGAAAAGGCTCCCGAAAATTCTAGGTGGCCTTTTTTAGGGTAAATATCCGTTTAAAATGGGTAATTAAACCATTTTGTAGATGTTCGAAAATCCTAGGAGAGGCAGGCAAGCAAGAAATTTTACAACAAATGTTCCGAAAATTCTAGTTCTCAAATCGTCTTCTGAACAGATATTTTCCCGAAAATTGCCGTTGGGTGCCCCTGATACTGATACGGACACTTTCTATGGTTTCCCGGCGCGAGAGGACTGGTGTTTACCCCTGGACAGTGGACGTAGGAGGGGGGATTGGGATGAATGAGTCAGAAGAACTTTTAATGGCAAACAGGTTTGAATCAAAAACCCTCTCTCATGAACTTAAGTGTTATCGTTCGCATTTACCTTGAGTCTAAAAAATGAATTAAAGCGTCTTCCAAGGTTAAAAAAGCGGACAAACAAGTATTTCATTTTAATAAGGCACTTGGTCCTCAACGAATTGACAGTTTTCATTAAGCTTCTCTAGAATCTTCTTAGCTAGTTGTATTTTTCATTTATCGTTTTAATTCGTTTTTATTATGAGAAAATTTCAAGTTATTCGTTTTACTAAATATCCCACTCTTTTCCAAATTTGTCTTTATCCTTATATCCACCTTGTTTTCACGGCAAACTACGTATAATGCTCCAAAGAGTACGTCTGAGAGTTAATGAAGGAATGAATATCATAATATCCATGCAAAGTGCTTTGTTTTCTTTCTTTCAGCCGTGTAGCATACTAAGAGAATACAGGGAGCTAGCGGGCCAACAAGACACCGCTGCTGAAATTCCAGGTGAGAAAGTTTAAATACCATTTAGAGGAATGTATTACTATAGCGATTTTCTTGTCCTCTCTGTGCAGTGGTAGGTAGGAAGGCTTGCTTTCCCACTGAAAATGAGAAATACATTTTATGCAATATTTTTCGTCATTATCATAAATAATCTTTTTGGTATTCTTAAAGAAGTGTAGATTGAATGTTGTATTTATACTTACTACATGCACTACGCAGCAACATAACTTGCTTTAGAAATTTCTTTAGAGAAAAGCAACTGTGCGTTCGACACATTCGGTTTAGGGTTTTAATTTTAATTTTTGTTTGAGTACTGAACTGTATGACAATACAGTTCAGTATTTACCTAGTACTTAAAAATTTGTATACCGAAAAATTTGTTCCGTTTTGATTCTTCGAGGAGGCAACAGGGAGCAAAATTATGCCATTATTCATCGGTCATTTAAGCTTTCCTGTTCTTTAATCTCTTATTCTTCTCTTGGTAGATATCAATAAAACTGAAGATCTTAGGGTTAGAGATTTTTTATTTTTAATTAGTGGAATTAACTGATATTTTGCATTCGGCAATGACAGACGTCACTTTTTATTTGTTTTGGCGAGTCTCTCTGTTGCCATCCCGACGAGACCAATACCACTGATGACCGCGCTCCTCGTTCTTTGCTCCGAAACAGCACGGAAACGCTTGCTACGCAGGCTACAAAACAATTCAGAAAATTTTTCAACTGTCTTAAGTTGGAAAAAAGAGCTAGAGGGCATTGCCTAAAGGCATAGTTGGATCTTTTCAATTAAGGGGAGTCTGTCCGGTTTCATAAACTCACACACAAAAAGGCTCTTATATGATGCTTCTCCTTCGAGTCTACTTGTACATGATTTTTCCCTTCATGAATGTTCTTAGTATTTTTCTTGAGAAGGTTAATCCATTGACAAACACGACTTGTTGGCCCTTGAGGCATACGAGCTTCTGAAAGATTAAATAATGGTCTCTTGTCGCTTGCAAAATTAATGGATGTATATATCGGCACGATATGATTTTGCCAACATTAGCCAACACCTAGCACTATACACCGATAAGTTGTTTCAAAGAACGATGCGCAGCGCCGAGCTTTTTTAGGCGATGTCGAGGTGTAGACCCAATTTCAACTGTTCTCTCATGTCTGTAGAGCTGACTCATTTCCCGAACTGCTGCTAGTGTTAATCTGGTTAATCGACTGGAACCCATCGAGGTTAAGCAAAGCATCTTCTCCGCATTTTAATTGCTACTGAACTGCTTGCGATAACGAGTACAACTAACGAGGCGCAAATAATTATTGAATATGGCAGTAAAAATCCCTGCCAGTAAGAACCTGCATTTTCGCAAGTTAGCCTTAACTGGTTGTAATACAGGGCTTCAAATAATTTCTCGGCTGGCGCCGGTCAAGTTGTCCGGTCAAACCTATTTTTGCTCGGACACAACCCGTTTTTGGCCGGACAAATGTCTTTCATCTAGGATTATTCGATTGCACTTTACCGTAAAATATATGCGGACTGTTATAATAATGCTTTACAACACAACACACCCTACTCCTGAGTTTGCAGTGACGACTTTATAGAGGACGAAGCAATAACTCGCAACTCCCGCAAAATGAAAAACCACTGTTACTGCCCTTCCGCACGGGGCTTCTGAAATTTCTCACGGTCGCAGAGCAGCGAAATTCATGTAAATCCACGAAATTCACAAAAAAACCACACGGTAGAAATAATAATGTCAGTTCAACATATTTGAGACTTATCTTGGCTAATGGGGCTGTTTTTTGTCTTAAACTTGCAAATTTATCTTGAAACTTCTTCACTGCAACGAGAAAACGTCCCAAAACCACCAGGTGTTTTTAGATTATTATTGCGAAAAACTGGCACTGGCCAGTGAACGATATAAAAAGTTTTGCCAGTGGCACATTTCTGAGCTCATTGTTGTTAAAAGAGCAAATGATGATCTCTGACAAAAAAACAAAAAACCTGTACAAAGAGAATACCAAGTCCAAATGAGATCACAAAGCAAGCGGAGGTTTTGACCGGGGTTTAAAAAGGCAACATTTATAAGTCGTCAGTGTTTCTGTTGTTATTGCACAGGCTAATGCTCATCATTTCCCCTCTCACCAAAAATGGGCAAAATTCCGTCTTGTTTCATTAAAAACGTTTGTGAAATCAGCGCAAAACCGATTGCTTTCTAGCAAATTTGCCCAGAAAATTTCCGCGGAATGGGCTTTTCTCAAAATTGGGCAATTTTGCTGCAAATTTGTCTCTAAGAATCCGACAAAATTTTGACTTTTTTTCCGTGACCTACAGAGGCCCTGTTTTATGGACAGTTTACGTAATAAAAGTTCTTGACCTGGTCACCTTTTTTTCTCTCTCTCCCCCCACTTTTTTTCCTTCACGAATGTCAATAATGTCCAATCTTGACCAATCTTATTTAAAAAAAGTGAAGGTCTGAATCACATTAAAAGCGTAAAAGAGCGGACAAAATGTCCGGTCATTCAAGGATTTGTCCGGACAAAGCCTCTTTTTGACCGGTTGACCGTTGACCGGCCGTTATTTGAAGCCCTGTAATAACATAAATGGTAATTAGCACAAATTTAGGTTATTTAGTTGTAACAATTGCAAGGTTCTTATTTTTTAAGGACAAAATTCATTGTAACTAAGGGTATTTAGTGCTTTTAGCTTATTCCTGCAGCAGTTGGAGCGATAAGGCACCTTTGTCTTCAAAGAGGATCCTAAACGCTGATTTTATCTTATTTTCTCATGTGTACTTTGTATAGATTTAAGAAAATAAGAACCTGTTTCAAATTTTAGGCTAAACAGGTTCTTGTGTAACTAGCAAATTTAAGCCTAAGTAACAGGTTCTCAAGAACCAAGTTCTTACTCCCGGGTTTTTGCTGTATCCACGTACTTGTGACACACCCATGAAAATTTACTGAGTTTGTGTCAACTTATTGCATTAACATCAAGGACGTGCATGGTTGATATTTAAATCTGATGATTCAGGCGTTCTACTGAAATTAAAATAATGATTTTGACTAAAATGGAAAACTTGAAAGGTAAAAGGAGAACAATCATTTAAAAGAGGAGATAAACTGCGAGAAAGCTACTGGCTCCTCAAAGCCAGGGATACGCTTGTTCGTTGTATTCTCAGTATTAGCCATGTTAACTTTTCTTTCTCTTCTTTAGTTTGTCTTTTTCTAAGAATTGATAAGGTCGTAAAATATTCAGTACGACGAGGTGGTTCACCAATTTTCTCTCACATGATAAGAGGCTATAGTAAAAGGCAAATTGTCTGCGCTTTAATAGTTAAATATGTGTTTTTCCACTTTGAAACGAATTTAAGGCTCAACGGGAACTCGGTGCTTGACTCACGATAAAACTTGGGAAAACTAGACTCAAATGGCAACTCGCTTGCGGGGAAGAGCCGTCACTTCTCCGTAGGACCGGGATCAAACCACTAACTGGTACAGCAGTAGATAAAACAGAGCTAAACTTGGTTCCAACAGCGTTTACTCCTCAGCGGATCAAACAGCAATAACTTAGGTATAACTCGGCTAGGACGTACGGCGAAATAATCGGCAATCAGTAAAAACTAACTTACTTATATATGATTTTTACAGCCATTGAAGACAAAAGAATACAATAGAAATATAAACAGAAATCACTCAGAGTTAAATGAAAACTAAATACAAATTCTATTTTTAACCTGAAATCTTTTGTTACTGTTGCTATTTTAGAAAGTAAAAGTACTGAGACAAAGACCAAGCCAGGTCAGCAAAACAGCGTTTCTGTACAAAGTGTTACAATATGAATTAAATTTCAAGCAGACTAATTGGAAGTTTTCACCTTAAACAAAAGCCGATCCTTTCATATTCAAAATTCGGTTATTACCTCTCTTTAACTAACAACTTAATGAAATATATTTTCGCAAATAAATATAACTAAATCGTAATTAAAACTAGGGTATCTAAAAGATAGTTAAATGCTGCGGCACATTCTGTTGATACTGGCATTAGTAAGGCAGTGGGACTTAAAAGAATCGAAAATGACATTGAATGCCCCATTTACATGTTGGAAAGTACTAGAATAATTACTATCGATCAGTCTATGGAAAGAACTCGTGGGAACGTTGTTTAGAAAATGATCAAGTGGTTATCAACTCTGGTTTTCCCACAGTAAATTGTAGGAGGTGATAGAAATTCAGATTGTTTATCCATACTGTGTACTATCTTTTCTCTGGAAACACGATACTTTTCTTGCTGTTAATTGCACTTTATTAAGTAACAGTTATTTAGCTATATATTTATAGAAAACAACAACAAAAAACGGGAGAAAAAAGAAAGAAGGAAAAAAAAGAGTTCGGTAGGTCTCGAACTCTGTACCATCGGCTCGACGCGACTACACCTAACTACTACACCACAGAGACTGATGACATAATCCTGCGAAAAGTCTTTAATTTCATGCCTTTTCCATGAAACTTCCGCCGGCAAGATGATTGCCAGCCACATAAATCGAGCTATTAACAGTAAAAAAACAATGTAAACGCGCATTCCATGGCAATGAATGAATGAAAGAACATAATTATGCTTTCCAAAACGCCGATACACTTCCTCTTCTGCAGCGTAGGACACAACATATGTTTTGTTATCTCGATTTCCGCTGTTATTTTGAAGCGAATGGTAAAAAATCACATCCATTTTCGGCTCATACAGGTTCTCACGAATAGCATGGCATGACATTTTCTCACTTTCACATCACCTTCTAGCAAGCTGGAATTTGTATATCCCCCGTGTTGCGGAGTGGAAGAGCAAATGCTCATCTTCTCGTCAGGTTTAACACCTGGACGAGTCAAAGGCTCTTGAATTGAAATCCAATCCCCAAGTTAACCATCGTACTCATCTGAAAGACTCCTGCATGTCTTAAATTTGGTAAGACCTCTAACCGTGCTGTCCGGTATTTGGCGGGGCTTATTTTCGGAATTTTACGGTATGATATTCGAGGCAAATAAAGAATTCATGGAAAATCTCTCCTTACAAATATTTGCCATACCTGCTTCGTCAACAATATTTCTCTTAGTCTCCTTAAAATATAACCTATCACATGCATATATATTACTGTAAGCTTAAGTAAAAAGAATTCTACGGTGACTGAATATATATCGCTTAGGAATGATTGTACGTCTGCCCGCAAACCCATACAGCTATTTCGAGAAAGGTTGTCGGAAAAAGTGCACGCTTCAATCCTGAAAGGTATTGTTGGTGGTTTTGCAAGCACTGTTCTTCAAAGAAATTTGAAAGAATGGCACGAGAGGCCATTAAAGTATGTATGCGAGTTTTAAAGTAAAGCAACAAAAGTAGTTTCGACAGCTACATTGTCAGGAACAGAGTATTGATCATGTCCCATATTACCTTTCGGGATTTTCGCGTGCACATTTTTTTCCGACAACCTTTCTCGAAATAGCTGTATATTATTGCCTAAATGCCGAGGCGGATATTAGCTTTTCGTGGTTTTCCTTTGTAGATTGTTTTAATCAGTTAACTGACCCTATCTTTTTTTAAAGTTAGTGGGATTAACCTAAGGAAATTCTGGTGTTCTGTTTTACTGTGGTTTGGCAACACATTTTTACCGTCTTGCTGCGTGCAAAATTGTTTTAATACTCTCGTATAAGTTGCGGCGCGTAGCCGTAATTCAGTTGAGTTTGGACGTCACTGAAGAAACTGCAGCAGTTGTAAAGTTAACAAGCGAACTTGCTTCTAGCAAGGTTCAATCTTTTAGTGGTCCCCCTCTACTTTTCATCACTTTCTTAAAGCGATGAAAAGCTCTCCACTATCACTTGGAACAGGCTAGTAAAGCTATGACTTTGAAAACATCTGGTTTAAGTTAATAAAGGCTCTGCTGAAGAGACACTGCACCTTTGATCTAGGACGGAATAAAGGATATCATGTCTGCTGACGGACAGTTTTGAAGTCTACATAAGCATGTATGTGTACCGAAAAAATGCATATTAAGATAAGATGTATCAAGTATAGCGAGACTAATAATAATATTATACAGGATATCCT